GGTAAAAACAAACCACAATAAAAAAGGGTCAACATAAATATAAAATACTAAAAGTAAAACATCAAATGCCCTTTTAAATAAACAGGTTTTAAGTTTGTCTTTTACTTTGTTTTACTTGTGGCATTTGTGTCTCTTATTTTTTATTTAAGTTTTAAATATTTTTTCCACAAGTCTTTTTATTTACATGTGGGTTGTTTTTTTTTTTTTTTTACATTTTTCTGTTTCCTGTTTTTACTTTAACTTGTGCATTTCTGCCTCATTCTGCAAATAAGGTGGGCTGCTGTTCTTGGGTTCAACTCCTCCTTGCAAATTCCCCCTTTTTCTAAATTAATTGATGCATTTTAAGCTTATTTTTTTATTTAAATGGTAAATGGTAAATGGTACTGAACTTACAGAGCGCTTTTCAAGTCCCTCCGGACCCCAAAGCGCTTTACACTAACAGACACTCACCCATTCACACTCACATTCACACACTGATGATGGCAAACTACACTGTAGCCACAGCTGCACTGGGGCGCACTGACAGAGGCGGGGCTGCCATGCATCGGCGCCACCGGACCCTCTGACCACCATCATTTATTTATTTATTGGTCCATTTATTTGTTTCTGCTTTAATTTGAATTTTGTCTCTTTTGGTCCTCTATACAGATCTCACTTTTATACAGGCTTCATAAACACACTTCATCTAAGCTTTTTTTAATCACTAAATTCAAATAGTTTAAAAACCATAAAACAATAACAACAATGGTWATAGTTACTTAATTTATCAGTTCACATTTTTTGAGTCAGTATTTTTTGTGTTAAACATCATTTTTGCCCAGTTATCCCCTAAAATCTCAGAAATAGTAAGTTATGATGCACTTTACTTAATAATTATTACCTGCTGCCATTAAAAGGTGTGTGTTGTGTTAGCAAAATATATCACAAAGCATTGGATTTGAATTCTTTTAATGGAAATCTGAAAGTTATCATCATGCAGACTTGGTGTTTCAGGTCCTTCCACACATGATTACCAGGATTTAGATCAGGGCTCAGAAGGATCTCTTCATTCTTGGTTGTTTTTAGTTAAATGGTAAATGTAAATGGTTAATGGACTGTACTTATATAGCGCTTTTCTATCCATCCAGGACACTCAAAGCTCTTCACACTACAATCTGTGTCCTCATTTACCCATTCACACAGCACTCTATTAGGTCTCTACAAAGTTAACATGTACAATCATCTATGGAGACTAATCAGTGCCAATCACATTCATACACTGATGGGACACACATCAGAGGCAGAAGGGGTGAAGTGTCTTGCCCAAGGACATAACAACTGAGACAGCTGGACAGGGGGATCGAACCAGGGACCTTCTGGTTCCAGGACGACAAAGTTGTGTGTTTTGAGTTAGCATCCTGCTGGAGGACATGTGACCCACAACTGAGACCATGTTTTCTGACAATTTTTTGACATGTTTTCTGTAGCGTGTTTCACTCCAGAATGCCTTATTAGTCTTGAGATTTCATTGTTCCTCTGTGCAGATGTYTTACAGGCACTGTGCGCCTTTTCATTTTTGGACCTGTGACCATCCTAAACCTTTAGTCAGTTACTGCATATAATGTTGATTTTGATATCTTTCAACAGATGACCCTGAGGGCAAAGGAAGCAGAGATGCAATGTCTCAAGCAGCAATCTCTTCATCTGAAAGAGGAGTTGGAAATTACACGAATGGTATGAATAAATTAATGTTTGCATTTAACAAAACGCCTGGAAGCTTTAAAAAACAAACACAGAAAAAACAGTTTTTCTCTATAAGTTGTCATTTAACCAAAGACTAACTAATAAGTTTGTGTATAAAGGACAAAGTGTATGCAGAGAATAAACTGAAAGACCTTCAACGGGCAAACCAGCACAACGATACTTTCCAACATATCGACAAAGACTCAAAGTTTGCCACCTGGTCTCCCAGCAGAGACGCCTCAGGACGCAGCCTCGGTGAGAAACTTGCAATTAAACCTCATATGTTATAAATTGGACCTGCTGCCCGTTTTCATGTAAAGTCTGTTATCCACCRTCATGAAGACAGGTTCACATTTTACTTTTTTATTTTCCCTTCATTGTTCTTGTGATTTGTCAGGTAATTCTGGGACAACAAACAATCCTCCTTTTGCCAAGAAAAGAGAAAAATCCTCCTTTCTGCGGCACATAAGAGGCATCAGATCAAAGGTAAACATTAGAAGATGAAGCAGAAAGAACTTTTTTTTTACTTTTGACCAAATAAAGCACCTAAAATTACCCATTTAAATAAGCAATTTAAACATATTCCAACAGTTTATATCTATGGTGAATACTAAGTTTTAGTTTATGTTGTAAACACTTAAATAAACCTTTTACTTTTATTAATAGTATATAAAGGCTTTCACTTCCTTTTTATGTCTTTTTATGTCTTTCAGAGTTTAAAGGATGGACTTTCTATCCAGGAAAAAATGAAGTTGTTTGAGTCGTTTTGATTTAAGAGGAATTAAACTGTCCTCTGTTTGGTGTGACAACACGTTTTATTTTCATACATAAATTTGTGTTATGACACTGGACGACATCTTTATTTTTACTGATTGCTTTGTAACTTAGCTGTCAAACCTTATCATCACCACTAGAGGTCGCAACAAGCTGACTTTTCTGAACCTTTGGGTCATTTTGGCCTGAGGGCAGCGTCAAGATGTTTTATTTCATCTGCTGTAGAAGTTATTGAGCACTGTATAAAGCAATAATAAATGAAAACAATAAACAGAAAATATTCACTTTTAAACACATTAAGTATTGGCTATTTGAGCAAAAATGAGAAGCTATAAAATCTGGCACCATTAATTAAATGTTTTCTTTTCTATGTTTAAAAAACAGAAGCTAGTTTTAACAACTATTTTTATAAAAACGTTCTTCATCAAATTAATATTTTCTATGTAAAGATTTAACTTCTATGCATTTCAAGTTCAGCAGGCATCTGATGAAACGTCTACATTTTCTCCTAAACAACTCAGTGTCCAGACTTCACCTGTTTGTTTTTGAGTTAACATGGCAAAAAGCTTTTTGCTCTAATGCATATAAGCATGTTAATTTTCACAGATTAGGTGCAGAAGATGTGTTTTTTTTTTAAATTGCTCAAGCAGCTCTGAGAAGCTGACAGGTGCAGATTTGCCTCTGTGGAGGTTTGCACGAAGAAGCCATTCTTCACCATCGAAGCATCGGCTCACATGACTGCAGTTTGAGTGTTTGCTTTTAACGAGGTGTGATGTTCCTCTGCAGCAACGTGACTTCAAGAAACGCAGAAAACACATGGACGCTCTGAACCAGCACCTGATTTGTCACAGAAATCAGACCTGAATCAGATATTAGTCTTAAAAAGACTCAGCAGCATCATTACACACTTTTTTTTCCACTTCTTAGGCTGATGCATGTTGTGTTTCAGAGGTTATCTGGAGCAGCATATTTGAATGTTACTGTATATAATAAGCCAACCCTTCAGTGACTCTAAATGTTTAAGAAGCTCACAGGGGAACATTTTTTATGGACCTCCAAGTTTAATTGTTTAAAATAAAACATGAGACGTGAGTTTCCACTACTGTGTTGAATTTAACCTGCTCAGTTTGATTCAGACAAACTTGGTTTTCTTTCAAATCTTTATAAAAGGATTTGTTTACTTTTCTTCCATAATGAACTGATCAGAGGTGAGTACCAAAACGTTTTACTCAAGTAAGAGTAGCGCTGCTTTAACACATTTTTTTCTGGAGTAAAAGTAAAATTTAGCAGTTCAAGAATTTATTCCAGTGTGAATAAAAAAGGATTTTGTAAAGCAGCTATTGAGAACTGAGTGATCATAACGTCTGATTTAATATTTTAAAATCTTGTCTGACAAAAAATAGAAAGTTGTGGGCAATTTCTGTTGTTTTCAGAGACTAAAATGAAGAAAACTAATACAAATAAATAACTTAACATAATTCCAAGATGACAAATTCCAGCAGAAGAAAGACATTTCCATGTCTAATTGTTCTCATTACAGAATCTGTACGTGTGTCTCTGGTGCTTTTCTGGTGAAAACATTTGTTGTTCATTCAGTGAAGTTACGGTGAGTGTAGTATTCTGAAATTTTATTCAAGTAAGAGTACTTCATAATTATATTACTCAAGTAAAGTAAAAAGTACAGTGTAGTAAAACTACTCCTAAAAATACATTTGTTTTTTTGAAAAATTACTCAAGTAAATGCTACTAACTGTAGTAGTTACATACTTATTTGGCATCTATTTTATTGTCATATTAATGCTTTTTTTTTCAATTCTTATTGATTTCAACTGTGTGTGTTCTAGCATTTTTTTACCTTCTTAGGCCCATTTTTGATCCTTATGGGGCCCATTGCCTGAGCCCTTTAAAGTAYCTGTGACATGCATATCCATGAAATGCAAAAAGTCAAAGAAATTATATTTATTTTAAGAAACTTGGCGTAAAACACATGATTTTACCCGTTATGGCACATAACTGGCATATTTTCTTTTGACCTTGGCTCAGCTAAAGTGAAACAGGAAGTGACATCAAAGGGTATTTCTTTGAGAAAGAAAACTCCCTGGTTTTTGTTTRTTTAAACAATATTATTTGAACTGGGACTCTTTCTCATCTCTCTATGATAGTGATTAAAATAGAAACATCAGATTCTTATCTACAGTCTGTTTTGTTAGTCATTTTCTCTGTTCACATGCAGACATTCCCCTTTGACATCACTTCCTGTTACTGAACATGCAAATATTTCAACTACTGTTCATCTCAGCAGCATGAATTTTAATTTTATTCTATTTGTATTTTACAAAAAAGAGCCATAAGAATTATCACAAGAAGGCATTACTATCACTCATTGTTTCAGTAATTAAAATTTTAAAAATTTTATGAGTTGGTTGAATATCATGTTCTGCAGGTTAAGCTAAAAAAATGTGTTACCTTCAAACATTCTATCTAATTTCGCTAAAAGGGAAAGCTGCTATAATTTCAAGGGATTATAAATGTTTGTGAAACCAAAAATCCGAACAAATTTGAAGG